CACGATAAAATATCGCCAGGATCTGATTCGTGATCAGATATACAAGGCAGAGAATGAAATCAAAGACAAAAAAACGCAACTACTTCATGCTACAAACGAGTGGAGAAATAGCAACATCGACCATAGTATCCGTACCCGCATTGAACAACACCTCGACATCCTCACAGACCAACATCACCTCAGCACTGAAACAAGGATTATCAAGAAACTAACAACATTATATGGAGGACCTATGGCAATTCCACGACCAAGAGATGGCTTCCTGAACCTTGCAGGAATTAACCTCACTGAGGACCAAGTCACTCTCCTAAATCTGGGCATAAACTGTCATGTTATGTCCAGACCGAGTGAAATGGCCCGGAAAGTGGAGTTGGAAATTCTGTTGGACGACATATTCGACCTCGAGACACAAAAGAAGGTCACTACCAAAGATACCTTACAAGCAGAACTTATTGCAGAAGGAGGAAAGAATCGAGGCAACTACAGAAGCACCATACTGTCCCCCGAGCTTAGAGCGGCAGCTAAAAGCCTTCGTGAGAACAAGGAGATAGTTGTCAGGAGAGGTGACAAGTCGCCAATATATGTCATTCTTAAAAAAGAATATCTGGCGAAAATGAACATCATACTCTCTGACCAAACTAAGTTCCAAAGGGTAACGAAGGACACTACAGCCGAATTAAAAGCGAAGGTCAACAAACTGATCGAAACTGTGAACGCCAAGAAATCCGGACTCCACCTGCCAAAGATCATTGGGGAATATAAACCTGGATATGCGTATGGAAATGTCAAGACGCACAAGCCTGGAAACCCACTTCGGCCAATCATTAGCCAGATACCCACACCCACGTACAGATTGGCGAAGCGACTCAACGGCCTGCTGACTCTTTATGTTCCTTGCGCCTTCAGCCTGAAGTCTCCAAAGGAATTTGTGGACTTACTGCGGGGCGCACGGGCCACAGGGATAAGAGCCTCGTTGGACGTAGAATCGCTGTTTACCAATGTACCTGTGGACGAGACAATCGGAATGATAGCCGACAGAGTGTATCGTGATCCAGCCTGTACTCCTCTTGACATGCCAGAAAGTATCCTGAGGAAACTACTCCAAGCTTGTACTAAAGAGGCACCCTTCTTGAGCCCGGATGGGCACATGTATAAGCAAGTAGATGGGGTCGCTATGGGTTCTCCCCTAGGTGTCCTGTTTGCAAACTTCTACATGGGTACCATCGAGCAAAAAGTCTTAGTCGACATGAACTTGAAACCGGCCATATACTGCAGGTATGTTGACGACATTTTTACACAGGTACCTGATGTCAGACATCTGCAGGAGCTGAAGGAGGCATTTGAGCAGAGTTCCGTGCTGCGTTTCACTTACGAGACGGAAAAGGATGGGAAGCTGCCTTTTCTAGATGTAACAGTCATGGAAAAGGGCGGAGGTTTCCACACTGCAGTCTACACAAAGGAAACAAACATAGGAATGTGCCTAAATGCCAACAGCGACTGCCCTGACAGGTACAAGAGGAGTGTTGTTAACGCATACGTCGACCGTGCTCTCAGCCACAGCTCAGAATGGAAGCAAGTCGACGAAGAACTCTGTAGGGTAAGGCAGGTTCTAGTCAATAACGGCTTCTCCAATGGTTTCATCGAAGACATCATAAGAAGGAAAGTGAAAAGCCATGCAACCTCCGAAGAGACAACTAACACAACACCTATACCCCCTATTAGACTATTTTACAGGAACTTCTTTTCCACAGCTCATAAAACAGAGGAAAGGGTCCTGAAAGATATTGTTAATAGAAACGTTATCCCTACAGACAAAAATCAGAGGATACAACTGACGATTTACTATAAAACCAGAAAAACGGCCAGCCTACTCATGAGAAACTCTCCAGACACGAAACAGAACGCTTTAAAAGAGACTAACGTCGTCTATGCCTTCAAATGCCCACTTGGGGACTGTAAGCTCCAAAAAACCCAGTATATAGGCAAGACAACAACATCTCTTTCTAGGCGTTTAACGATGCATAAACAACAGGGCTCCATTAAGGAACATATAATCTCTTCCCATAACCAAACCATCGCCAGAGAAATCCTAGTAAACAACACAGAAATCATCGATAGATACAGCGATAGCAGGCGGCTCGACGTTTGCGAGGCACTACACATCAAGAAGTCAACACCAGCAATCAACAGCCAATTATTGCACAACTATATTCTACCCACCTCAAGACTCCGCTCCAATATAGAAGCATCAAGAAATATGGACCAATAGGCTTTCTACAAACACTTCTATTCAATATCCATTGTTTCGTGTCATATTTAATAAAATATATATATATATATATATATATATATATATATATATATATATATATATATATATATATATATATATATATATATATATATATGTGTGACACTTCTACCAAAGTGTATGAATTCCAATTGGCAAATGGAATTCACTATAAATACCACGTTATGGAATGTGGAATAGGAGAAAACAGACTACACATAACCTACAAATTATAAGGACAGACATCAAAGAACTCTGACAAAAAGATCTATAGGTTGTTTTGGGCAGTAGACAGTCACCCTCTGAACACATGCTGCGAGGAGCATATGCTACGCTTTCCAATTTCAGAATCGCTTTTATGTGTATGGATGGCGAAATATTAAAGACACTGTTCACGACGTTTGTGAGACCAAAATTGGAATATGCAGCAGTTGTATGGTGCGCATATCTCAAGAACCACATCAATAATCTGGAAAAGGTTCAAAGGCATGCTACTAAATGGCTTCTGGAACTGAAAAACGAGCAACGAGGCTTGTGGTATTAAATATGCCAATGGTAGAGGATAGAAGAAATTAAGGTAATATGATCACTACATACAAATTAGTAACAGGAATCGACAAAATTGACAAAGAGGAATTCTTGAAACCTGCAACTTCAAGACCAAGAGGTCATAGATTCAAGACAAGGAAACAAAGGTACCGACACAAAGGTTTTTAATTAAAAACCAAATTTTCAAATATAACCTACATCCTTTCTCATACAATGTTCTGAACGCTGTATACAGCATTTTAAGAAAGGTGCTGTATACAGGGCGTAGGTTACATCCGAAAATTAGTTTATTTTCTACATTTAAACATACATTTGGCTTCACATTCAAAAATAATAATAATATTAATAGGTCAGTAGGCTACGGGGGATACATGAGAATGTTTTGCTCAGTATTTTGATGACGTGGCTGTGGCAGGTGTCTCGAGCTGACTAGTCAGGTGTGAACCCTTCACGTTACTCACACACACACACACACACACACACACACACACACACACACACACACACACACACACACACACACACACACGATGAATCAGAGGGAAGTAGGCAAGTATTTCTGTCGTACAGGTAGTAGGGAGGTTATCTTGAGAAGATTAGAATAGACATAGGAAGACATAAAATACATACATGAGTATTATGTCAATTTCGTGAGCCCCGATCATTTTCTAGTAACAAACGTTTTTGGCCTTAGGTAAAATATAGGTCAAAAAACGACGCGCTACTGGGAGGACGGGTCGCATGCCCATAGTGCGCTCCCGGTACAGAGAAGCAAAATAATAGGTCATATTTGTAGTTTCGTGAGTTGAGATTACTCTTGTGCCTCGGTGTGAATGGTGGGGTGTGTACGCACGCACCTAGTTGTGCTTCGGCTATTTGGTCCCGCTTCTCAACCGTCACAACTGTTGTACAGGTTCCTGAACATATTCAGCTGTATCATATTTATATTTGAAACTGTGTATGTAGTCTGCCTCCACCACATCACTGACCAGTGCATTCCATGTGCTAATTACTCTAACATTGAACAAATCTTTCTAGTCTCTTTCTAAGTATTAATTTAAGTTTCCATCTGTGTCCACTTGTTCGTGTTCCAGCCATGCTAAATAGTTTGTCTTTATCTGCCCTATCAATTCCTCTGAGAATTTTGTAGGTGGTGATCATGTCTCGCCTAACATTGCCCTTCTTATGAGTAAAAAGGATAGAGAGGCATAGGTGAAAGGAAGTTTAGAAATGGGAAATACAGTGAGGGTTATGAAAGAAGGCGGGGGGCTGTCCGCCATGCTGTGTGTACATGATGCCAGGGAATACTACCAGTGTGTACAGGATGCCAGGGCTGCCATTGCCAGGACCAGCGAGAAGGGGGCCACTGACATGGGCTCCCCCACCCCCTTAGTGGTAGACAATGCTCTTGACCACTGTGGCTTTGCAAGGGAGGGAGAATTATTGCTTATCGACTAGTCAATAGGGGAGGTATACCGGTTTACAACACGCTATGGCACGGTAATCACCCGATGGAAGGGTGTTAATTATATTATTCTACTTCCTTCAACCCCGTATGAAGTATAAAGTAGCTGCAATACGTCATTGTATCTAATTATCGTACGTTATTGTTAACAATAATTACAAATGAACAAATATTACCTAACTGTTCGTACCATAAAGAGGCGTGACGGCTGAGTGGACAGCGGTCGTTATTCGTAGTCCTAAGGTTCCCCCGGCGGAGTCGGAAACAAATGGGCTGAGTTTCTTTAACCCTGATGTTTCTGTTCACCTAGCATTAAATAGGTACCTAGGAGTTAGACAACTGCTACGGGCTGCTTCATGGGGATGTGTAACAAAAAGGAGGCCTGGTCGAGGAACGGGCCGCGGGGACGCTAAGCCCCGAAATCATCTCAAGATAACCGTCGGTAGTTGCTACGGAGGTGGTCCACCAGACAGTACTGATAAGCAATTCAAAGACGTCATAACATCTCAACTATCATCTTTTGCCAATATGTCGGGACTACATAAAAAGACCAAAGCTGCTAGTCTGGAAAAAGCTGATTGATAGTTGTGGAGGCGGGACGAAAGAGCCTTTGCTCCCCCCCCCCTCCCTCAGCACAACTAGGTGAGTACATACACAATGTTGAGTCATCTTACCAAGTCATATAGCCACACTCACCCATGGGTCTAACCAATGCTTCAAGTATCCAGCGATCCAACGTCTATTGTTGGACCAGACCAATTTCAAAACCAGTATTTATCCAGATCTTTCCTGAAAATAAAATCATCCAATTTGTATCCACTGTTTAACACTCAATATTGTGTTAATATCTCAAACATATATACATTGAAATCCTGGCGTAACGGTTCCCTACTAATTATGACGCCCAAATCTCTCTCATTCATATTTGGCAATGTCAACACTGCTCAGCTGATATCTGATAATTATTACAATTTCATATAACCATAAGACAGGTTCACCTTCCCAACACACGAGTCCAAGGATCAAGTGGCCAAGGTGTACTTAAACACACGAGTAACGGTCTAAGGATCAAGGGACTCAGGTGCCAAAACGATGATAAGAACCTCTTGGTGTATATAGACAGCGCGCGTGACCCAACACTCAGTTATAACTGGTAGATAATATTATGCCAACGTCTAACTGGCACGAGATCTACGACCAGTACGACACAGTCATCATCCAGCAATTAGGGTATTTTGTCTGGGTACAGTCGGGTTCGTTCTCCACTCAATCATGAGTACGAAACGCCGGCGAGACAGAAATAGTTGGGCACGTTTCCTATCACCTAATACACCTATTCATCTAGCAGTAAATAGGTACCCAGAAGTTGGTCAGGTTGTTGTGGGGTTGTATCCTGGGGAGGGTCCTCGATGTAAGCCTAACATGAATATATATACACTGGCTGCCTGTACCTCGACACAATATATTATTAGTAATTGTAAGAAACTGATGATATGGTGATAACAGGATAGGTTATTAATAAGAACTCAATGATAATACAATTTCCACACATTCTGTCACTTCATCGCCAGAGATATCCTGGACCGCCAGCACATGGGAGACTTACAACTATAGGAGATAAGATACAACCCGACAATTATACATCTGTTTCAACTACAGTACCAGCACCCAGCTTACACCAGGTGACACGCCACTTACTACCCCAGTTGACCAATGAGAATGCTGTTTTAGATTTAGCTACTCAGAACGAAATGTCCATGTAGCACGGGCTATAGTGATCCCGTAAACCAATCAGATGGTTGATTGATGAAGGTTAAGCCACCCAAGAGGCGGCACGGCCACCCCCTTCTCGCTGGAGGTAAAGACACCGGGGTTAAAAGTGAACTAGATGTTCTGAAGACACCGACACCCTGCGGAAAACACGGTAGTATTATAAGGAGAATGTGGGTTGGTGTATTTATCATCATTATGCGTGGTCAAGGGCTTGAGCTGTGGAGCATAAATTAACGCCGTGTTCAATACGTCGATACGCCAAAACGATGCACCTATTTTTTTTGCAAATTATAAATCATCTATACTCATTATCCTGGACTACCTATCACATACTTCGTGGCATTATCCTCAACTACCCATCACATACTTCGTGGCATTATCCTCAACTACCCATCACATCATGACAGTATCATGAACTACCTATCACCTACTTCATGGCATTATCCTGAACTACCCATCACACTTATAATTCCCATTACCTTTGCGATCATTTCTAAAATGCGTTTAACGTCATTGAAAGAACGCTAAAATAGCGCAGCGGAGAGTATTGAAAGTAAATAATATGAAAAAATTCCTAACGAAATTATAGAGAAATAACTGGTATCAAAACAACAATTAGAATATCCAGGCGATGAGTCACAATAACGTGGCTACGTTATGTTCACCAGACCACACACTAGAAGGTGAAGGGACGACGACGTTTCGGTCCGTCCTGGACCATTCTCAAGTCGAATCGACTTGAGAATGGTCCAGGACGGACCGAAACGTCGTCGTCCCTTCACCTTCTAGTGTGTGGTCTGGTCAACAATTATAATATCAACATCTGGCGTAGATATACAAAGCCATTGGCAATGATTATAATTTTCAATGACCTATAGCTGGTCAATAACCTTCATGTATCTCATCTCAACCATTCTGGCCTACTTATAATTCTCATCAATTCCTTCACAATCCCCCCCCATGCTGTAATTTTCACTTACTGTAACATGTTTGTGTCGTGTTATGAAGGAGAGTAGCAGTTAGTGACTGTAGATAATTGCATGCATAACCAACTCTCATAAAACGGCCCTGGTCAATGGAACCTAAGAAAATGCCACTGTTTAAATTGTCTCCCAGCCAAGTAATACTGTAATTCGATAATATCAGAACAAACAATCATTAGCCATCATATAAGATTAAGCCACAATATCTCAGACTTAAATTTATTTAGAATCTAAAGTTTAATTGATATATAAAAAAGCAGGCTGCAAGTTTTACCTTTGTTTATAGTGTGGCGTCCCCACTTTATCAAGGCCATGCGAGGTAAAGTTAACCTGCCAGGATCGATACCCCACACTAGCACAACTTCCCAGCACAGTGCCGGAAGCTCCCCTGATGATTGTACAGTGTGCACGAGACCGGGCTCGATACACATCAAACACATTTACATTTAACAAACTACAATAATAATTGCTTAATTTTCCCCAGAGACCGGGCTCAATACACATCAAACACATTTACATTTAACAAACTACAATAATAATTGCTTAATTTTCCTCTCGTGTGATTTTGCAGTCGTTTTCATGGGCTATAGCTAAATCAAATATCATTTGTAACATTGCATAGTAATCTAACCGGGAAAATAGCTACGTCACAGAATGGTTCACAATTTGCATGTGACCTCTTGTGAATTAATCATTATGCCTCGCCGGTAAACCACCTAATAATCACTACAAAACATTTATCTTGCAAGCTTTATACACATGTTAATAAGTAAACTCAACAAGTATTCCTCCAACCAGCAGCCCGGTATACAGGTTTAACAAGAAAACTCAGAAATATAATTCTCCAAATATCCTAATACCCGTACCAATAAAAAAAAATTGTACATCAATTTAATTTATGTACATATGATCTTTATATTGTATATTATTTAATAACGAAAAAAATACACATTCTGATGTTCTCCTGGAAGCCTAATACACTATGCATGATAATACTCTTGCTGGCCTAGTATACAACGGCAGATAATTATCTTGCTACTCTCTCTTACTATATAACTTAATTCTTTTGTTAGCCTAGCACACTAAGCAATGTAATAGTGATGTTAGTCTAGCACAAGATAATTCTCTTGTTCGCCTAGTTCACATGTTACTGAAATAAACAAGGAAATACAACCTAATAAATTTGCTGAACAAGTAAACTCAGGCAAGTACCACTCAAAACAAGTAAATTCAAGATATTTGTAGTGTGTTTAGATATTCCGCTCTCTAGCCTAGTCAACCTAATCCCCAGCCAAGGAAGCAAACTCTTCAACTGCCGTTAGCCGTTAGTCCAGCATACAAACCGTCTGCAGAGTTAACATGCTGGTCTTGTGCTCAGCCCCCATGCAAGACCTTAATTTAATACGCTACTCTTCTAGCGTTACAGGCCCTAGAAGCCATTCAACTCATCTCAGTCATGCAGTGTTCTGTAAATCATCTATTTACTTAAGAAATAATGTTTTATGCTACTCTATACCCGTATTTGATGTTTCTTTAAAACTATTTGTGAAGGCAATATGGCGGCATTCAAAATTCTTAATAGTGCCAAGCCCTCGTCGTGTGATTTGCAGCGACTAATCAAAGAGGGGTGTTATGTGATAATGTCAAACTGGTCGAAATATCAGGGCAACGAAACCTCAGCTACTCAGGAAACAGGATGTTTGTCTTTCAGAGTGCTTGCTCCGGCGAGCGCAGCCTAGGTCATCAAGTCTAGTACCGGCTTTCCTGGTGACTGGGTCCGTCCTTATTCAATTAAAAGTGCAAGTTAGGACTCAAGCTGTCAAGATACCACACGCAGTCGTGGTGTCTGGAAGTCCCTGGAGTAGTTAGTTTCTATTCCAGTCTAATATCGCTGATGTAAAAAAATGATACTGTCCTACGATCTTGACAACATAGTCAGGCTATTAAGTAGTTAGTAAGACTAGAGAAGACATTGTAGTCTACGAACAGATTACGGTCTACATATAGATCCCGACAGTAAAGTATCTGCGGTAAAAGAATTCACAAATAATTTTGGAATAGCGTTAAAAAAGACAGCAAAAGGCCACATGTGAGTATGGCAGAGGAAGATCCAACCGCGATATTATATTTTCAAGCAGTAATACTGGCGGCCCTTCCCTTCTGACCATCGCTAAACATGAGTGAATTAAGAGGCTGTTACTTTGACGTGAGGACTCGTGTTAACATCGTAATGTCAGATGATGAGGGAGCTCTACTTTTCGTCGTCATTTGAAGAGGTAAGAACTAGAAACAACCTTTCAAATGCTTAGCGAAAAAAAGAACGAAGTTCGTGTATCAGGATTCTGCCCTAAACAGGTCTACCACTTCCTATCGTCTCAGCACATTAATATTCTCCAGTTACATCACGCCTTAGAAGACCCCAAGAGAGAGAGCTAGAACAGCAGTCAGCAGCTTGCATTATAATAGGACTGGTGTATGTAAGGTTGTATACCACATTCTTCACTGAACATGTTATATTTATTTATGCAGAAAAAACTATTTATTGATATAAGACATTCAGGAATCTAGAGGGATGTACCACTGATTAGGCACACGGCAAGTTCTGTAATATTTTAATTGTTTACAATTATACTGACTGCTTTGTATGTATATTAGTTCTCATAATTTCCCATAGTCGAAATTATATAGTTCTTATAATTTACAAAAAGCCTACGTCTTGTAAGACTTACATCGGAATCCCGCTTAAGCCAATTACCGTAAATGGTAAACAGAGGCATCAGGTATCAGGTTAAAAGAAAAATGCCTAAATGAGTCTGTCCTATTATTATCTAGTTATATTTACTTATGAGTTATTCCTTTCTGGTGAACTAGGCCAACGAGTATTATAAATGTATTCATATCTGGTTACACTGTAGCTATAAATGGATATAATTATTTTATAGCATCAAGCTTTATAGTAAAGTGTGTGTTACCGAAATGATTACTGTCATCAGTGAGGTAAAGAGGTGCCAGCGTAACGATTCCGTGCGTGTC